GGCGGTCGGTCTCGTCACCTTGGCGATCAGACGGGGCATCTTGTAGCGGTAGAACTGATCCAACACGCTGCGGTTGACATTGACAGACATGTTGGCTGGACGACGCGTGCGGCGCTACTAGCAGTGAAATAAGAGGATCGTGATTGGGGACTTTCCGGGATCTTCTGTCTGGAAAAGAGGGGATGACATAAACGACTGCAAGCGCGCTCGGTCTCTGACATGAAAAACGCCGTGCCGCCGTGGCCGCAAGCTCCCCGCTTGAAGGCTAAGTTTCCACCACACAGGTTCCAACGGCTGCGCAACAGCTCTGAAAGACAAAACGGGCAAGAGGGAAAAAAAAACGCCAGTCAGGAAAAGACTTTCTCTAAATGAGTCGCGAATAAAGATAATTTTTTTTCCTCTTTTCTAAGGCAGGAGGTGTCATGCTTCATTCTTGCGGCAAAAAAGGTGCGATCATTTTAAACATGAAGATTTCATGATGCTGAACATGGCAAATGGTCAGTCGACAGCTTCACTTTGAAAGACTTTGATGCTTTTTCATGCGCTGCCACGACTTGAGTATTTTGATGGAGATGCATTTACAAGAGCGGGGGTCATAGCACCTGAATACTGAAACTTTAATATGGATGGCGTGATGAGTCAGTTAAGGTTGTCCAACTGTTGCGCTATGGAAATTTGGCAGTGTCAAACTTTAAGAATGTGACATGAGCATATTTTAGTCCACTTTGAAATGTAGGTTACAAATATATAAATGGAAATGCTGATTGCTAATATGGCTGAAAAGTTGGTTACGTTTATAGTTCATACTTTCTAAATTTGTAATTGGTGACCCCAAAACAACGGGAACATTTTGGAATAGTGATATCATCGTATTACCGCGCAGATACTATGATCCAAGATATTTGAAATCAAAGGAGGGCGATTGTAGACGGTCAAAAAATAAAAATAAAAAGGGTTGACACTGCTGCTGTAAAGTGTCTCTTCTCATACAGGCACACGAAAAGAATCTGCTGACCTGAAGTGAACACTTGACACACACACACAGCATGACCCAGCACAGGACACGCAGGCAGATTAGGCCAGAAGAAAAGAACAAAAGTGCGATTTACCCGCAGTGGCTTTGGGGAGGGGAGCTAAATATGTTGGTAAAGGCCCGTCATTGTGCAAGGGCAAAAGTGCGGAGGGGTTAGGGGGTGGCAGTGGAATTATTCAACACAAGGCCAGCTCTCGTTCGGAACTCATCAACACGAAGGCCTTTACTCATGCTAAACTGGGGACGATCCCTAAACCTTTTCAACTGCCTCGCGTCTATTTTCACCCGCACGCCATTATATGCGGCGCTTTTTGAGATCCCAGAAGCCATTTCAGGAGGCCGGCAGGTTAGCTTCGCACGTTAGCCAAGCCTGGCTAGCTTGGCGCAGAGTGCGTCACGCAGCCAAAGCACACTGACTGAATGGGAGGCGCCATTTTGATAGCGCCCACTAAACAAATACCGCCCGTAGCCATGTTAATTCCACCCTCAAGACCGTTTCCTCACAAACAGTCAAGGCGCCATTGGCGACTTACCGTTTTCGCAAAATAAAGACATAAACACGACGCTGATCGTCCCAAGAGGCGCAGTGAACGATGTCGATGACTGCCGCTGGTCTTGTATGGATTGCAGCAGGCTTCTCGGGTGCTGTGTGACGAGGAGGATGATGAGGAAGGAGGAGGGGGGCCTCTCTCACTTTTTTTTTTTTTTTTAAACGCTGCTCAAGGGGGAAAGAGCCGACGAAAGGGGGGAGCAAAAGACTTGACAAGACGGCGCGGGCCGCTGTATCCAAAAACGTCCTCTGTAGTTTCGAGACCTTTGAAGACGACGGGAGGAGAGAGGCGTTATTTTCGACTCTATTTAATAAATGTAATAAATAAATACCAGTCAAAAGACAAACATCGAGTATAGTGTTAAAATATGGCCGAAACTCGACGGCATTGGGCCGGTTCTGATGGGCTGTGGGGTTACGCCGTCAACTCCATATGGAGGAATGACTCTTACGCAAGAGTCGCATGTGTTTCAGCGTCACAATCGACCAGATTTTCCACAGTGCATCACAAGTAATTTCCAACAAATGACCAAAAGAAAATCCCCAATATCATTATATTTTCCTAAATACAGCATTTGAAGTAAAATCGACCAACGTGTGGCAGGAAATAATCCGCACCTTTCTCGACAGGAAATAGTCCCAGCCCCGATGCTACACAGGGCGAAGAGCAATGACGTCTTTATTAGCTCAGCGCAATCACGCCGATTAAATCGCGATATTCTGAGTAAAAAACAAAAGGTTTTAACCCAGTCGTCTGTTAGCTAAACATCATTGACTAGTCAATCTGCGACCGTAAAATCTGTGTCGCGAGAAATCAGGTAAAGTGTACTGGATGAACAAACTGCGGCATCCTTACCTCTCGGATGTTCTCGGAACTAGTGTCGCTCGCTCCACACCACGCTTTAACTGACGAGGCGTCAAATTTGCATACGCAGCACATGATTTTACTTCCGGTTTTGACGATTCTGGGCAAATTAGGCTCAGGCAAGAAATGCTGAAACACTCGGAAACATTTTATATATATCAATCGAGTTCCGTAAGAACATCTTTAAGAGAATTGAAATAATCTTCATTTCAAGAATCCCACTTTTCAACCTGTCACTGATTTTATTTTGAAACAACAAAAAGCCAATCAAACCACACAGAATTGTTTAACTTGATTGAGGTTGTCGTTTCTCATTGGCTGACTGCATGCGTGACGTCTCACGCACGCAGTTACGTACGCACGCACGCCCTGCTTCAATCGACTAGCACAACAGCGGAATTGAAGATGGTAAGTGGGAAGTAATCTTGCAGAAAAGAAACCTTTTCGCCGACTTACGCTGCGATTTTAGAGCGTCATTCGCTGCACGTTGTTTGGTGGCAGACGTGCGGGCGACATTGTGATTTCGGCGGTGCGAAATGATGTGACTCTTCTTTTTTTTCTTAGTGAAGCTTCAGCTCGGTGGTCACATGACAGTTTCTGCACTTTGGTGGCACAGACTTTTCAGACAGAATGACAGAAACGCACTTTTAGGTGTTAAATTGAGCCACCGTGCCTTTCTCTGTGATGGGATTTCAATCAACGGATCGTATGCGCGGCGCAACATTGACGCTAACGCGACTTCTTGTTTCCTCCCCGTCGGCGAAGTGGTTAGCTCGCCGTGCTAACAAGCTAACAGACGTGACTTCAGAGTGACGTCACGTCACCGCTTCCTTCACGTATGCGCGGACTCGCTCTTGAACTGCTCGCTCATTTTGCTTGAGCATGTTCAACTGTCACGTGTGAGTGCCGGGCAAAGTATGGCCTGACAATTTGTTCATTCGGGTTGATTGAAACCTATTCATTTTTTGTTTTTATTCATATGAATAGGATTGAGTAGGAAGTAGAAATAATACGAATTAAAAATGTATGGCACTGTATGGCGTGTACTTAATCAAAAGGTCTGTTTTATCGATTTTACATTTTCCCCTGATGATTATTTGATTCGAATGGCTTATGTTCCACTTGTTTGCGAACCGCTACAACGATCACTAACTATTAACAAC